CCCCCAATAAAACTGTTGGTTTAAACAGTGAACTGTGCAGCTTAGGACGAGTCTCCATCCGAGATGCTGCCTTTCAGCAAGCAGGTTACTCTGGTTCAAATCCCGATCCGGGGACCTTTCTGGGTGGAGTTTGCATGTTCTCCCAGTGCATGTGTGGGTTTTCTCTGGGTACTCCAGTTTCCTCCCACAAACTAAAAACATGTATGTTAGGCTGAATGGCAACTCTAAATTGTCCCTAGGTGTGAGTGAATGTGAATGGTTAATTGTCTTGTTGTTCTCCATGTGTCCCTGTGATGGATTTGCAACCTGTCCAGGGTGTATCCCGCTTCTCGCAGTGATGGCTGGATATGGACATCAGTGACCCCCGCGATCCAAAAAGGAAGAAGCGGGTAAAAGATAATGGATGGATAAAATTGATTAAATACAAGAGAGACGTGTACGTCTCTCTTGTAAATGAGTCATCGAGTTCAGTTCAGTGCGGCTTCTCTGCACCTGGTCGGCCTCCTTCTCTAACTCTGCACCCTGGTTCTCTCCAGAACTCCGTTCTCTGAAATCCAAAGGTCGGAGGTTGGAGCGACTCTATAAGAAATCCGGTCTCTCAATTCACAAGGAACTCTATGTGAACCACGTCATCCAGTATAAGGACAGTATTTCTCAAGCCAAATCCAGATACTTCTCTGACATCATCAGTTCCAATGTTGGCAATTCAAAGACTTGGTTCTCTCTCCTTAACCGTTCAGTCTCATCTCCTAACTCATTACCCTCTCACATGGTTTCCACAGAATTTTGCAACTCTCTGATGTCTTATTTCAATTATTTCAATTCATAAACACCTTGGACCTAATACCGCCCCCAGCATCTATGTTGAAGTCCCCCCTCCCTCCCTCCCCTTCTCTGTCTCTCCCTCCCCTCTGCTGATGACATTGTTGACATCAGCAAGTCTAAGTCCTCATCCTGTCGGCTCGATCCATTTCCCACAGTTCTTGTTAAATCCTGTCTCCCGTCTCTGCTCCCCATCATCACTAATATCATCCACTCCTCCCTAACCTCTGGCATTGTTCCCACAGCTTTCAAATCTGCGGCCATCACCCCCATCATCAAGAAACCAGGTCTTGACTTTACCAACTTCAGTAATCTTCGTCCAATCTCTAATCTGCCCTTCATTTCCAAAGTTCTTGAAAAAGCCGTTGCTAGTCAACTTCACTCTCACCTATCCAACAATAACATTTATGAAGAGTTTCAATCTGGTTTTTGCCCCCACCATAGCACCGAAACAGCTCTAATAAAAATAACTAATGACCTTCTTCTTGCTGCTGACTCTGCTCTTCTGTCTATCCTCATTCTACTGGATCTAAATTCTGCTTCGACACAATCGGTCATTCTATCCTCCTCAGCAGACTAACCTCCATTGGCATCTCATGTACTCCGTTAGACTGGTTCAAATCACATCTCTCTAACCGCACTCAATTCATTAAGCTTAAATCCTTTCGTTCCCAGTCTTCCCTCGTCTCCACGGGTGTCCCCCAAGGCTCCGTCCTTGGACCCCTCCTCGTAATCATTTACCTCCGTCCTCTAGGTCACATCTTCTGCAAATTTGGTATCCATTTCCACTGTTATGCTGATGACACACAGCTCTACTTGTCAACAAAACCAAACTCCACCCACCCACCCTCCATCCTCACAGACTGTCTCAATGAGCTAAATCACTGGTTTTCTAACAATTTCCGACAACTAAACAGTAACAAAACAGAAATCATTCTTGTCGGTACCAAAAACTCTATTTCAAAATCAGAACATCTTCTCATCCCCCTTAACAACTCTCTGCTATCCCCCTCGCCTCAGGTCAAGAGTCTTGGTGTCATCCTCGACACCACTCTCTCCTTCACTTCACACATCAACAATGTCACTCAGTCTGCCTATTTCCATCTCTGAAATATTAACCGTCTCTTCCCTTCTCTCACACCCTGCTCCACAGCCATCCTTGTTCACAGTCTTGTGACTTCTCGGATTGACTACTGCAACTCCCTTCTTTATGGCCTCCCCAACAAATCTCTCCAGAAGCTGCAATTGATCCAGAACTCAGCTGCCCGTGTCATAACTCAAACCTCCTCCTATAACCACATCACTCCAGTCCTGCAGCAGCTCCACTGGCTCCCGGTTAAATCACGCATCGTCTTCAAAATTCTTCCTCTCACTTTCAAAGCTATCCACCACCTTGCCCCTCTGTACCTATCTGACCTCCTACACATCTCCATCCCCTCTCGCTCTCTCAGATCCTCCTCTTCATTACACCTCCATGTACCCTCTGCCTGCCTCTCCACCATGGAGAGCAGAGCCTTCACCTGCTCTGCCCCTCATTTCTGGAACTCTCTACCCCCTGACTTAAGAAACACCACCTCTCTTTCTCTATTCAAGACTGCTCTGAAAACACATCTCTTTAGACTCGCTTATCTTTAACTTTGCTGTATGTATTTTATATTCTTTATGTATTTTATATTCTTTATGTATTTTATATTCTTTATGTAATTTATTCCTGTTGATCTTTGTTCTTACTGTAAAGTGTCCTTGGGTGTCATGAAAGGCGATTTTTAAATAAAATTATTATTATTATTATTATTATTGAGGCTCAGTGAGACTAACCTGTATAAATAAAGGATGAATTGAAATTACTATTTTAGAGAGCAACAACAACAAGCCTGTGTGTGAATAGAGCA